TTTCTTTAACAGCTGGCAAACCATGGCCCATTGATTTATGCCTGAGTGGTGCGTTGAAATTAGTGAATTACTTTAACTCTTTACTTTACTTTACTTTAAAGTGAATTACTTTAGATCCAAGAATTTACGTACGTTCGACTTCTACGCTTGAAAGCACAAAGTCATTTGTCTATAATCAGAGTTTGGACACAAGTCTCTCATAATGTGCCAAAGAATTTCTATTCTTCTCCTATGACAATTCTTGAGCATCCAGGAAAACCCAAGAATTGTCAGCACGCTTAAAAAACCAAGAATAACTCGGGAGTTCCTTCAAAACGACGAATTATCAACATGGGTTCATTTGGGATTATTTCTCCCTTCTTCAACCTAATGTTGGGCTGATTAATTAGCTGTAAACCGCGGTGGTTTACCAGGGTTTACAAACATAATGTTGGACAGCCTGTCACGTGTACCATTGAGACTCGTGTGTTTACCAACAAGGTTTTAATGTTATCATAAGTCAGTTCAAACGTCGCTACCCCGGTCCCACTTGCTACCCATTACTGGGGTCATCACTACCCCCAACCCAACACTGGGGGGGTCATCACTACCCCCAACCCAAGCACTGGGGTCATTACGAACCCAACCACCAAGCACTGGGGTCACGAGAACCCCTGTCCAAAGCACTGGGGGTCACGAGAACCCCTGTCCAAAGCACTGGGGTCACGAGAACCCCTGTCCAAAGCACTGGGGGTCACGAGAACCCCTGTCCAAAGCACTGGGGGTCACGAGAACCCCTGTTCCTAGCACTGGGGTCACGAGAACCCCTGTCCAAAGCACTGGGGTCACGAGAACCCCTGTCCCAAGCACTGGGGGTCACGAGAACCCCTGTCCAAAGCACTGGGGGTCACGAGAACCCCTGTTCCTAGCACTGGGGTCACCAGCAACATTCCAAGCTGAACATGGCAGCTTTTTCATTGTTGGTGTGTCATAAGAGGAGAGAATATCCTTTGTGTGTTGACACTCAAACCCTTCACTCAACTTTCTGGCAGTCAACTTTTTACACTAACACTTGTCTGTTAGTTCGTCTTGCTTATCTTTATTCCTTCAGCTTCTTGTTCTCTCTCTGTCTCTCTTTCTCTCTCTCTCTCTCTCTCTCTCTCTCTCTCTCTCTCTCTCTCTCTCTCTCTCTCTCTCTCTCTCTCTCTCTCTCTCTCTCTCTCTCTCTCTCTCTCTCTCTCTCTCTCTCTCTCTCTCTCTCTCTCTCTCTCTCTCTCTATCTCTCCCCTACATCTCTCTCTCTCTCTCTCTCTCTCTCTCTCTCTCTCTCTCTCTCTTATCTATTAAATGAATACATTAACTTTTATTAGTTGTAAACTTACTTTTTTGGGTTATAATTAGTGCTGGTTGAAGCAGAAGCTGTTTTGCAAAGCTTTTATACAATCAGCTGCTTTGACTTTACGAATGAATGAATGCTGGTCCTTTCCATTCCCCTGGGCTGGACGGGTTTCGAACCGTAGACCCCACGTATGTAAGACCGAATTTCTGTCGACTGGGCCATAAGCAGTCTTTAATTGCTGATGGAAGGATGAGCTTGAGAATGATAAAGCCAGCGTAAACTTGCCGTTTAACGAGCGTCTTGAGTTGTAATCACCATAATATACTTGATCATGAAGTTAATTGGGCCAGGAATTAATTGGGGTTAATTAATTGGAGTTAAATGGGAAGTTTGAGAACCTTGGACTTACTCATAGTAAGTCCAATGATGGACTTACCAGACAAGACCAATGATATCTCTTCATTGTTGAAAGGTTTTGACCTTTAGGGGGGCCCTGATAGCTGAGTGGACAGCGCTCGGGATTCGTAGTCCTGTGGTTCCGGGTTCGACCCCCGGTGGAGGGGGAAACAAATGGGCAGAGTTTCTTTCACCCTGATGGCCCTGTTCACCTAGCAGTAAATAAGTATCTGGGAGTTAGACAGCTGCAGCAACACAGTAGCAGCAACACAGTAGCAGCAACACAGTAGCAGCAACACAGTAGCAGCAACACAGTAGCAGCAACACAGTAGCAGCAACACACAGGGACTCCCAGGGACTCCCAGAGCCTCACAGGGACCCCCAGAGCCCCTCAGGGACTTCCAGAGCCTCACAGGGACTCCCAGAGCCTCACAGGGACACCCAGAGCCCCTCAGGGACACCCAGAGCCCCTCAGGGACCCCCAGAGCCTCACAGGGACTCCCAGAGCCTCACAGGGACTCCCAGAGCCTCACAGGGACTCCCAGAGCCCTCAGGGACACCCAGAGCCTCACAGGGACTCCCAGAGCCTCACAGGGACTCCCAGAGCCTCACAGGGACTCCCAGAGCCCCTCAGGGACACCCAGAGCCTCACAGGGACACCCAGAGCCCCTCAGGGACCCCAGAGCCCCTCAGGGACACCCAGAGCCTCACAGGGACTCCCAGAGCCCCTCAGGGACACCCAGAGCCTCACAGGGACACCCAGAGCCCCTCAGGGACCCCCAGAGCCCCTCAGGGACACCCAGAGCCTCACAGGGACACCCAGAGCCCCTCAGGGACCCCCAGAGCCTCACAGGGACTCCCAGAGCCCCTCAGGGACACCCAGAGCCCCTCAGGGACACCCAGAGCCTCACAGGGACTCCCAGAGCCTCACAGGGACTCCCAGAGCCCCTCAGGGACACCCAGAGCCCCTCAGGGACACCCAGAGCCCCTCAGGGACACCCAGAGCCTCACAGGGACTCCCAGAGCCTCACAGGGACACCCAGAGCCCCTCAGGGACACCCAGAGCCCCTCAGGGACACCCAGAGCCTCACAGGGACTCCCAGAGCCCTTCAGGGACACCCAGAGCCTCACAGGGACTCCCAGAGCCCCTCAGGGACACCCAGAGCCCCTCAGGGACACCCAGAGCCTCACAGGGACTCCCAGAGCCCCACAGGGACACCCAGAGCCTCACAGGGACTCCCAGAGCCTCACAGGGACACCCAGAGCCCCTCAGGGACACCCAGAGCCCCTCAGGGACACCCAGAGCCTCACAGGGAAATTGTCAAAGAAAAAAAGCGTCCAAGACTCCTCTAGGGAAGACGCTTGAACAACTTCCTTCATCATGTCAGTGATGACAAATAATAATGAATAAAAATTACCCCAGCTTGATTCATGGCTAATTATGAGCCGTGGTTTATGTGGTAGTGATGATGGTCATGTTGAGTATGATGAGCTGCGCATGGCTGAGTATGATTTAAGTTGCTGTTTGTAAGATGATATATGGTGTAAAAGAGAAGCTGACGAAGGGTACAGTCATCCCCCCACACACACACATACATATATACACACATACACACACATACATATACACACACACACACACACATACACACATACATGCGCACACACATGACACGCTCAAGGGAATCGACAGGGTTGATAAAGACAGGCTATTTAACACAAGGGGCACACGCACTAGGGGACACAGGTGGAAACTGAGTGCCCAAATGAGCCACAGAGATATTAGAAAGAACTTTTTTAGTGTCAGAGTGGTTGACAAATGGAATGCATTAGGAAGTGATGTGGTGGAGGCTGACTCCATACACAGTTTCAAGTGTAGATATGATAGAGCCCAATAGGCTCAGGAATCTGTACACCAGTTGATTGACGGTTGAGAGGCGGGACCAAAGAGCCAGAGCTCAACCCCCGCAAGCACAACTAGGTGAGTACAACTAGGTGAGCACACACATGCGCGCACACACACAACTTTTGGGGAAAATCATTTTCCTCACATTGCTGAAATTAAATCAGGTTTTCAAAGTAAATGTTTCAAGGGCATAATACTTGGTGGAAGCTGTGTACTCTAATATTAGAGTGAAGGCGGCCCCAGTGCACTCCTCTATGGCTTGCCCAATCGCTTGGGCTGGTAGAGCGATGGTCTCTCTTCATGCAGGTCCAACATGGCCTCAGATCAAGTCCATTCCATCCAGCGGTCGAGCCCCACAGACGCATTCATAAATTTTATCGTTATGTTCATTCAGAACAGCAATTTTCTCAATAAATGCAGACGAGGAGTCACAATAACGTGGCTGAAATATGTTGACCAGACCACACACTAGAAAGTGAAGGGACGACGACGTTTCGGTCCGTCCTGGACCATTCACTTCATCGATTTGAGAATAGTCCAGGACGGACCGAAACGTCGTCGTCCCTTCACCATCTAGTGTGTGGTCTGGTCAACATATTTCTCAATAAATTAATATTATTGCATATTAACATACTAGGCCTATTTAGGCATAGGTTAGATTAGGTGTTCAGGTTCTGTTGGCGATTATTTGTATTTGTAGTACGTGGGTGAAGCATTTACAGCGTTGTGGTTCGACCAAAAGTCGTCAGTTTTTGTTCGAACACTGTTCCGGAAGTGCTCGGACGTCATCAATTGTGATTCGCGTGTAAACCGTTTGGCGACTGCATGGAATGGACTTTGGACTTTGTTTATGAGGACGGGCTGGCAGGTCGGCGTTCAATCCCAGACCATCCAAGTGGTTGGACACCATTCTATTTCCCCTCGTCCCCCGTCCCATCCCAAAGTCTTATCTAGACCCCTTCCCAGTGCTATATAGTCGTAATGGCTTGGTGATTTCCCCTGATTTTCCCCTCCGTCTTCTAAGGAGTGACTCTCAAAGTCTGGTCGGAGGTGTCTGATCTTCGACACCCTTTTGATATGAGTTGAGATGTTGAGGTTCCTTCCTGGTTTTAAGACGTTGGACTCCTCTCCTTATCAGGAATTATAAAATATAACCCGCTTTCCTTATCAGGAATTATAAATTATAACCCGCTTTCCTTATCAGGAATTATAAATTTGATCAAAGAATAATAACAAACAAATGAACGTCTCACTATACGAACCACAATGCATTTAACCTTTATTATGAGATAACAACTAATTTACTGTTAATAATACTTTTTGAGTCATATAATTGTGCCTTCACACGAATCATCTTCATAATGTCTTGTCTCCTTACAGATAACAGCACTTAAGACTTGGAGGTTCTTGTGAGACAAGGTGCAGAGATCCACAACAGCCCTACACAAGTCTCAAGAAAACTCGCTATAACGACCTACCCTTCGCCTTGAGACCAATTTAGCGAGACGGGAAAGACTAAATCGCGACACGGTGGGGGGATTTAGCTCCTGGACCGGGCTCCCTTGTGTGTTTTGTGTGTCTGCGGCCATGCTGACAAACCCCCATCTACTTTACCCATCTCTATAATCCCTCCTAATCTCACCATTCACCAAAGCTCTCAAAATACATCTATAATCCTCCAAGAATTTAGATCGTTTGTAACGACCGGAACCTCTGAATGACTATTTAATCGGTGATTTAAATCTGATTTGTGTTGAAAATAATGAGAGACTAGCGAAGGAACTTAAAAGATGGTGAAAGGTGTAGCGAGGTGCGACATGATGGAGAAGTGTGTGAGGATAGTGTGGGTAGCTGTGCTGCTCTTGGGCATCCCTGTCCTCGCTAAGGTAAGTACCCAGTGCTCCTGTGATGTGTTGCAATGATGTCCCAGCCCGTCCTAACCTCTGTAATGATGTCCCAGCCCGTCCTAACCTCTGTAATGATGTCCCAGCCCGTCCTAACCTCTGTAATGATGTCCCAGCCCGTCCTCCTAACCCCCTGCAGTCATGTCCCAACCCGTCCTAACCCCTGCAATGATGCCCCTGCAATATCTTTAAAAACACATTTAGCCTCCACATTGGCTTTAAAAATAGCCTCACCTCTGATATAGAAAATGTGGACAACCTTGAGAGACACACAGGACTGCATTCCGACGTTTATTCAGAAAGCAAAGCTATACTGGCGAAGAATGGGGGTTCTCTACTTCCCAGAGACTAAAGATAGCTCGGGTGTTATTGGCGTGTTGTGAAGCCCCGAGTGATGAGCTGACGTGATTGTGAAGCCCAGAATGATGGGCTGACGTGATTGTGAAGCCCAGAATGATGGGCTGACGTGATTGTGAAGCCCCCGAATGATGGGCTGACGTGATTGTGAAGCCCAGAATGATGGGCTGACGTGATTGTGAAGCCCAGAATGATGGGCTGACGTGATTGTGAAGTCCAGAATGATGGGCTGACGTGATTGTGAAGCCCAGAATGATGGGCTGACGTGATTGTGAAGCCCCGAATGATGGGCTGACGTGATTGTGAAGTCCAGAATGATGGGCTGACGTGATTGTGAAGCCCAGAATGATGGGCTGACGTGATTGTGAAGCCCAGAATGATGGGCTGACGTGATTGTGAAGTCCAGAATGATGGGCTGACGTGATTGTGAAGTCCAGAATGATAGGCTGACGTGATTGTGAAGCCCAGAATGATTGGCTGGCGTGATTGTGAAGCCCAGAATGATGGGCTGACGTGATTGTGAAGCCCCAAATGATGGGCTGACGTGATTGTGAAGCCCAGAATGATGAGCTGACGTGATTGTGAAGCCCCCGAATGATGGGCTGTCAAGATTGTGAAGCCCAAAGAGTTTGGGCTGACACAGCTGCAAAGTCATAAGTGTTGGACTGACGTTGTCTATAATAATGCCTCAGCCATTACTAACCTACAAGCCACCACCACCATCACCACCACCATCATCACCACTATCACCACCACCACCATTACCATTACCAGGCACCCGATCACTTATGTTTATGTTGTGACATTCACAATCGAAGATTTCTGTATTTGGATGTGATTAAAAAATAAATCACTGGCACATATGAAGTAGCTTCAGTTTCTACAATATATACAATGAATAGTGACTATTGTATGCACGTGTATGTCATTTATACATCATTCACAACCCTCAGGAATGTATAAAATATAACAAGAGCCGTATAAAAGTGAGTAAAAGTGTAAACAATGAACAAAACTTGAACATGAACAAAGGGACTCTCATCTGTTATCATATTAACATCAAAGATCCCATTGGGAGTGATATCGAGCTGGTATATACACAACCCTAATGGGCAGTTAGGGGCTTCCTGCGTTACGACAATTCAACAGACTGCACGATATCCCAACTGAAGTTCACTGTGTGTAATAGGGTTATATTGTGGCTCGTTCAGACGACCCTCCTAGCGATTCACTGTGGCCCTTCAGACGACCTTTCCAGCGAGCCCTCAGGGGCTCACTGTGGCCCCTCGGACGACCCTACCAGCGAGCCCTCAGGGTCTCACTGTGGCCCTTCAGACGACCTTCTCAGCGAGCCCTCAGGGTCTCTGTGGTCCCCTTAGACGACCCTACCAGCGAGCCCTCAGGGTCTCTGTGGTCCCCTTAGACGACCCTACCAGCGAGCCCTCAGGGTCTCACTGTGGCCCCTCGGACGACCCTACCAGCGAGCCCTCAGGGTCTCACTGTGGCCCTTCAGACGACCTTCTCAGCGAGCCCTCAGGGTCTCACTGTGGTCCTCTCAGACGACCCTACCAGCGAGCCCTCAGGGTCTCTGTGGTCCTCTCAGACGACCCTACCAGCGAGCCCTCAGGGTCTCTGTGGTCCTCTCAGACGACCCTACCAGCGAGGGTCTTAAAGGTACGAGAAAGGCATTATCTTAGGGATATTAAAAAGAGATTCTCACCTTCACTAAAAAGAAATAATGTTTCGTTATTAACAATACGCGTGTGCGCGCGCTCATATACGTGTACTAACCTAGTTGTATTTGCGGGGAGTGAGCCACGGCTCTTGGGTCCCGACTCTCAACTCTTAATCGAACAGTTTATAGGATCCAAAACCTATTGAACTCTGCTATATCTACATTTATAGCTGTGTATGGAGTCTGTCTCCACCACATCGCTGTCTTATGCATTACACGTGTTCACTACTCTGACATTAAATTTTTTTTTTAATGTCTCAGTGGGTCATTTGGGCAATTAGCTTCCATCTGTGTCCCTTTGTTTGTGTATCAACTTTATCCTTGTCTACCCTTGTCCAGCTAAAGACTTTATCCTCGTCTACCCTTGTCCAGCTAAAGACTTTATCTTTGTCTACCCTTGTCCAGCTAAAGACTTTATCCTCGTCTACCCTTGTCCAGCTAAAGACTTTATCTTTGTCTACCCTTGTCCAGCTAAAGACTTGTCTACCCTGTCCCTTACTTCTGATTAATTCGTATATGTTAATCAAATTCCTCCCCTTCCTGTTTCGTCTCTATTCCAGAGACGTGAATCCTAACACCTGTAACATTTCCTCGTAGGTCATACCTCTCAGCTCTGGGACTAGTCTAGTGGCATACCTTTTACCTTTCTCCAGTTTTATTTTGTGTTTGAGGAGATAAAGACTCAATGATGGTGCGGCTTACGCCAGAAATGGTCTGACATAAAGGATATACAAGATTCAGAACGTCTCTTTGTTGTTCAGAGTCCTAAAGGTAGTTTTTATATTACTTTTATATTAGCCAACTTTCCGTATGCAGCTAATGAAATTCTTTTCATGTGAGCTTCTGGTGGTTGGTTGGGCCTACTATCAACTCCTAAATCTTTTTCTTTGATTTTAATAGGATTTCCTCTTCTATGTGTCCGGTTTCAGGAGTCCCCATACCCATCTTCATTCTTTTGTACTTGCTAGAGGTCAACTCTAGTTGCTAGAGGTCAACTCTAGTTGCTAGAGGTCAACTCTAGCTGCTTCTTGATTGAGGGACAATATTATAATTTTGTTCTAGTCCTCTTGTAGTTTCATGCAGTCTTTCGTTCTATTTTACTAGCCAGCACACAAACCATTTTGGGTCTGCCTCCAGAAATGACACCACATGAGACCAGGAGGCATGGCAGGATGTGCAGAATACCCCCGTTGAAAAGCTGAGGTGCAATAGGTACTCTGAGAGAGAACTCTTATCAACATCCGAGGCCCGAGAGTGTTCAACACGCTTCCACTACACATAAGGGGCATAACTGGCCGACCCCTCACAGTGTTCAAGAGAGAACTATCAACATCAGAGGCCCGAGACTGTTCAACACGCTTCCACTACACATAAGGGACATAACTGGCCGACCCCTCACAGTGTTCAAGAGAGAACTATCAACATCAGAGGCCCAAGACTGTTCAACACGCTTCCACTACACATAAGGGCATAACTGGCCGACCCCTCACAGTGTTCAAGAGAGAACTATCAACATCAGAGGCCCAAGACTGTTCAACACGCTTCCACTACACATAAGGGACATAACTGGCCGACTCCTCACAGTGTTCAAGAGAGAACTATCAACATCAGAGGGCCGAGACTGTTCAACACGCTTCCACTACACATAAGGGACATAACTGGCCGACCCCTCACAGTGTTTAAGAGAGAACTATCAACCTCAGAAGCCCGAGACTGTTCAACACGCTTCCACTACACATAAGGGGCATAACTGGCCGACCCCTCACAGTGTTCAAGAGAGAACTATCAACATCAGAGGCCCGAGACTGTTCAACACGCTTCCACTACACATAAGGGACATAACTGGCCGACCCCTCACAGTGTTCAAGAGAGAACTATCAACATCAGAGGCCCGAGACTGTTCAACACACTTCCACTACACATAAGGGACATAACTGGCCGACCCCCTCACAGTGTTCAAGAGAGAACTATCAACATCAGAGGCCGAGACTGTTCAACACGCTTCCACTACACATGAGAGACATAACTGGCCGACCCCCCACAGTGTTCAAGAGAGAACTGGATAAACACCTCCAAAGGATACCTGATCAACCAGGCTGTGACTCATACGTCAGGCTGCGAACAGCTGCGTCCAACAGCCTTCAGCAACCAGGAGGCCTGGTCGACGACCGGGCCACGGGGACGCTAAGCCCCGAAACCATCTCAAGGTATCCCCAAGGTAGCACACACACACACACACACACACACACACACACACACACACACACACACACACACACACACACACATACACACACACACACACACACCATGTTGGGTGAGCCTCCATCACACACACACACACACACACACACACACACACACACACACACACACACACACACACACACACACACACACACACACCATGTTGGGTGAGCCTCCATCACACACACACACACACACACACACACATACACACACACACACACACCATGTTGGGTGAGCCTCCATCACACACACACACACACACACACACACACACACACACACACACACACACACACACACACACACACACACACACACACCACACTCAACAATAGGCACCATTGCGGGTAGTCCTGTAAAATAGTGGAGCCCTGTTCATGTCCGCACAGTATATGTACAGTGTTGAGGCGGTTGTCATACTGTGATAATACCATTAATCAAAGTGTTTGCTCAACTGCCGGTCCTAGATAGAGCGACCAGAAGGTTATAACACACAGGTCAAACATCACACACACGGCAAGATGACTTGGTATAAAGACCGGCCGGCCATACGGGTGATTACTGGATACTTGGACCCTTAAAACTAGACCGAAGAACCATTATTTTGTTACTCTTTTTGGTCAAAGATTTAATAAATCCT